TTTGATTTATTATTCCGTTTTCTTGTGATGCCCTTTTTCAGCGTGAAGATGGTACTCACGTGGTTTACACGGGGCACATTAATCTTGCATACCGGAAGGCCGTCCGGTGGTACCGGGCCTATTTTCGACATACCCTCCAGGAACTATGGGAGTGGGACGAAGATAACATCTTGAACCTTGCGCCTCTATTTCAAGAGGAGAGATAAATTGTTTTCTTTTAAGGAACAAACAACTTGGGCAAAAAATAAATCATATATATATATTTTCTTTTCTATGTGGTGGTGTTTTTATTTTTATTTTTATTTTTTTCTTAAGCCTTCTGATCCCGTTCTTTAGTTTTAGTAGTACAGGATTGTTTTGGTTTTGAAGCCGGGGTTCGTTGTTCCGTTTTGTTGTGCTTCTGGTAGCTCTGCTATCTGTAGATCTGAGGGCAACGTTGTTGGGGTGGCGGTCGGTCGGTTCTGCAGCTCGATGTCTTCTGGCGTGAACTGGCTAGTATGTTTTCGCTAGGCTTGTCCAAAATTCGCTGCATAGAAACATTAAGATTCTCGTCGCTGTCGCCGTACGTTTCAACGGCATGTATCGATTCTTCACGATGAAAATCGGGGCGATCTTTCGTCACATCCACCGACCGTTCACTCGAAGATGTACCAGGTTCGGAATAAATGCGTGCTCTTGCAGTTTGTGTGCTTTGAGGGTTAAGAAAAGGAGTTGACGTCAATTTTTGCGGTTCTTTAATATTCACACTTGTCGAGCCGTTCAACAGGCCATCGATTATGTTTATATTCATGTTATTTTTTACACCGCCTAATATGAAGCCTCACTGTCACTTCTTCTCCACGGAAATTTATCAGATTATCGTTTTGATCGGTAATGCGTATACTAAGGTGATCAATGGCTCTCACGATAACTGGAAGATAAATGACGTTCGTAGTACTTTGCGAAATTATATATCCAGGCGGCACGCGCGGTGAAAACTCATGAATGGTATGAACACATTGACCGTTGCTATACGCACCAGTTGTAATATTACATTCGATCCTCAGCACATTTACTTTCATAATATTTACGGGTATATCCGACTCGTGCCATTGCCCCGACGGTAATATGCGATATGTAGAAAACCCGAGAAGCGATCCTACATTATTTGGTTTGGTAAAATCGATTGTATAATCACTATATATTTCACTTTTCAAAGTGCTGTTATTTGTACGAAATAAAATGATTTTTGTCTTGTCCATTATTTTCTCTTGTATGTATTTATTTAGCGCTTCGAGTTCGTACGAACCATCCGGTATCGTGATCTCACCATCGGCATCAAAGTAAAATTTATTGTTTGTAAAGTCAACGTTCGGTATTGTGTTGAAAGCTTGAAAATCAACGAGTCCGAGTTCGTAATTATCATCCTCCAAGTCTATAGGTGGAAAGTAATCAGTGCTAAGCACAGAATTTTTTCCGCTTAACGTAAACGTCAACGACATCTTTGCAACTGTGAAGACTATGTGCATCGAAACTATTTTATACATTTCCAGCTAAAAAATGCAAGCTGAGTTGTCCGCATACACTTGTATTGAATTTTTGATACTGCGCGTGATTGTATAAAATCGTTACATGGTTTCCGAAGTAGTTTATTAACTCTGTCGGTGGCCTCAGATTTCCAAAAGAATCGAAATATTTAACACAATTACCTCGCTTTACGTAAGCTACCCAGTGTGTACCAGGACCTTCCGATTTATCTAAATTCACGATACCGCATTCGTTTAAGAATGATTTAGAGGGCAAATTTGTACGCATGGAAACACCTCGAAAATATGGAAAGTTCAACTTTCGTGCAAAGTTATATAACTGTACATTTGTCATTGCGCCCTGTGGAAGCGTTACAATTTGCCGAAGCGCTTCTTTTTTTTTCTTTAATTCCTTTTCCCCGTTTATATGGTGCAAGGTAAAGTCCATGTCCTTCCATAACACGATTGTGCCATTTCACTTCCTCCAGTGTTTTCCGTGCTGCAGATGCATCGTTGACTGCCTTGGCGATACCTGCTGCACCGCCAGCCACCGTGCCCAAAGCTGAAAGGCCTGCAAAAATAGGTACAAGTGCTGGAAGAAATCCCCCACGTTTTGCAACTGGAAGTTTGCGCAATTTCGTCTTCTTCTTCTTGTTACTTTTCCACGGTGCCATTACTTTCTTCTTTGGCTAACTTTTTGGCTAACAATATTCCAGCAACGTGCGCAGACAAAAGTGTTTTCCAATCTGGTGCGAATTCTTTTTGTGCTAATTCGAAGATCAAATGTGCATATGCACATCGTACGACTACCGTATAGGAAGTGAAATTTTTTCCTGGGATGTTTGGGTTTATATAGGTAGAGAGAGAAGTTGTAAATGATGCAATACATTATGATTTATTAAAGTATAATTTCTAACATAATTTGTAACCTAATCCTTTTTGCTCTGTTAAGATGCTGCTGATGCAGCTGTTATTATTGCCTGAATACCTAAAGCTACTAATTCGCAATCAATAATTGAATTTGGATCATAAATATCAGTTTCTTTGATATGCTGCACAACCTCTGCAAGCACTTTTACATCTCCGTATCCCCGAACTAATGCAACAAACTCTTTAAATTTTTGTTCCACCGAATACAGTTTATCATATAATGCATTATGCATTTCAACTATACAATCATTTAAAATTACCATTTTCTCAAATGTTTTTTTCATCATGCACATGCATATATCATTGCTAATCAATTTAATTACTTTTTCGCCATATAGCACTCCAAATTCAACACTTATATCATTAAAATTAATATTGTCGCGTGTATCTTTTGAATCGTCAAAGAAGCTGCATACGTTGTCTGCTTCGGCTACAATCAGCGACCATGTGACTATGCTCAGCTCCAGGCGGTTGTTTCGGCTGTCTGATAATACGAGTTGCGGGTAGAAATTGTCGCCAAGTATATTTATGCCGATTTCCAAAATGCTTTGTACAGAAATCCGTCAATGGATATTTTCGGCCCCTAAAATTCTACTTTGGATAATTGTGTTGCGCTTCATAGAATCAAATAAATACCGTTTAAGTATGTTATTAGATACAATTACCCCGACAGCGTTAATTAAATGAGTATCGAACACATCACTTACACGTCAATCTGATGTTTGTCATATTTTTGCGTAGCCTCTTCTCTTGAGTAGAACTAGGCGGGCGCTTCCTTTGCAGAAAAACTCTTTGAAACTTTGAGAATACATATTTCACTTTTACAATACAATCTCGCGAACGATTGCACTTGCGGTGATGGTCAATTTGGTTTTGCGTATGCTTGAAGCTTTAGCAAACCCCCTACCTTCTATAGTCATGAATTGCAGTGTCAGATTTGCTGCGAGACAAAAAAACTCATTTCCAAGACGTAGAAAAAATCATTTCCAAGACGAAAAAAAAGTGTCTTCCGATAAGAACAAACAGTTCAAGGTCATGGAGGGGTGGGGGGTTAGGGTGTTATATTTCTGCCGACGGGGTGGTGTCAAATTTCAGTTCAAGGTTATGGGGTGGGGGTGGGGTTGTCATGGGGTGGGGTGTCAAATTTCAGTTCATGGTCAGGACGTATCATATTTCTGCTGACGCTGGCGTCTAATTTTAGTTCAAGGTCGTGGGGTGGAGGTGTGGGTCTGATGGGGGCGGTTATGGGGTGGGGCGAGTGGGGGAGGGATGGTTAGGGGGTGGGTGTTGTCGAGGACGTATCATATTTCTGCTGACGGTGGTGTCAAATTTCAGTTCAAGGTCATGGGGTGGGGAGAGGGGGCGGGGAGGGGGGTATCATATTTCTGCTGATGGTGTCAAATTACTGCTGAGTCAGCAAAAAAAATGCTGACGCCAGTGATTTAGAATCCGCATAGAACAACTACTCGGATTAATTCGATACGACGTGATCATTTCTCGGTAGATTCATTCTTTAAACGATTAGAAATTCTGCTTAGCCTCCATTACACCTCCCTTCCTTCGAGCTATGCTATGCCTGGTCTGGACGGTTTTCTCACGACTCTACCACTTTTGGTAGTTACCAGTGCTCTCCCCTCATTCACTCCAGACGGTCTGACGGTAACGCTGTCACTGCTTGACAAGGACTCTTCTTCACTGTCATATTCGTTGTACATGTGAACGACACTGTTTGGAGATTTTTTAATATGATACGATTTATCACATCCTGAGGTAGCTTAGACCAATAAAACAGCTGTCTTAGCCTCTTTTTTGTTTTTTCAATCCCAAAGTGGGGCTTATGAGCTAATTTAATCATTTCTGACTGTAGTAACTTAGGAACTAGTATTTTATTGTTATTTAGGACCAAAATTCCTTTGTGATATGTTATTTCATTTCTTAGCAACCAATAATTAGTGTCCACTGACTTACATCTAGCCTGTGGCCAGTCATTTAAAGAGTAATTGATTATTTGTTTTAGTTTTGTATCATTAGCGGTAGCTTTTTGAAACTCCGCAACCCTCGACTGACTCATTGCTACATAGGTGTTTAAGGAGTGTACAATTTCATTATCAGTGTTGTTTGCGACTTCGGTCTCATCTTTATTCAGATGTGATCTTGACAGCAGATCTGCAATCAGCATCTGTTTTCCTGGTAGGTATTCCAAATCAAGCGTGTATTTTATTAACTTAAGCATTAACTTTTGCAACCTAGGAGTTATTTTATGTATGTTTTTCTTTATTATTGAAACTAATGGTTTATGATCGGTATACACTTTGACTTAATTGCCATAGACAAATTAATGAAATTTTTCTACCGCGAAACAAACAGCTAAGTACTCTTTTTCAATCTGCGGATATCTACGCTCCGTGTCTGTTAAGCTTCGGGATGCAAAAAACACAGGCCGTCCGCTTTGTAGCAAGCATGCACCTAGCCCATGTTGTGAAGCATCCGCTTGTATTACTATCGGTAACTTATTATCAAATAATTTTAAAGTAGGTGCCTCCACGATTTTATGTTTAATTTTGTCTAATGTCTCACAGTGTTCTGGTCCCCATTGCCAACTATGTTCTTCTTTGTTAAATCTCTAAGACAGTTTGTTAGTTGAGACACATTGGAAATGAACTTTGACAGAAAATTTATCATACCCAATATCCTCAACAACTCCTTTTTATTAGTAGGTTGTTTTAGTTTCAGTATTGCTTCTACATGAGATCGATCCGGTTTTACTCCATCTTTATTAAATATAAATCCTAAATATTTAACTTCGTTAGTCTTATATTGAAGTTTATTCTTATTGAATCTAACATTGTATTTATTAGCTCTTTCCAAAACTAACTGCATAATCTTGTCATGATCTTTTCCATTCTTAGCAACAATAATAAGGTCATCAAAATAGATACCTACATCTTCTATGTCACCAAATATTATAGTGTTCACTCTTTGGAATACCTTCGGCGCGGTTGACAAGTCAAATGACAGTCTTGTGTACTTATATTTACCAAAAGGTGTTATGAAGGTACATACCTCTGAACTCTTTTCTGTTAGTTTTACCTGATCAAATCCGTCTTTCATATCCAACACTGAATAAACTTCTTTACCTGCCAACCTATTGCACAATTCATCAGCCGTGGGTATTGGAAATTTTTCCGGTTTTATGCTCTTATTATGTTGCCTTGGATCCAAACAAATTCTTAATGTTTTGTTTGGTTTTTCTATTATGACCATATTATTGACCCAATCTGTAGTATAATTCACCTTTTTTATTATCCCTGCTCCTTCTAAACTATCTAAAGTGCTTTTTAATCTATCCTTTATACTGAAGGATACTCTTCTACAAGGGCTGACCACCGGCACTGCGTGCTCTTTTAATTTTATTTCATACTTGTAAGGATAGGACCCTAATCCCTGAAATATTTTCTCATTAGCAGCTATAAACTCCTGTTTTGACATATTAATTTCTTCTGTTATTGTGTTACAAACCCTTATATCTATGTCTTCTTTCTTAATTAATTTTAATTTAACGCACGTATTTAGTCCTAATATGGGCATGCTCTCAACGTCAACTATGATGAATTTAACCTTAAACATCTTATTATCTGCACTATAATGTAGTATTGCTGTCCCTAGCGACTTACATTTATCATTGGTGTAGCTCACTACAATAGTTAATGTAGAAATCCAGTGTGGCTGTTTCTTAAATTCTAAATTTTTAAATATTGTCCAAGGAATTATGTTACAATTAGCTTCTGTATCTACTTTAAAGCTTATAACATTATTACCTATCTTAATTTGCTGTATCCAAACCCGATTTTTAAGTTCTGTGTTTACAGAGTCTACAAAAAACTGATTACTTTCCGTTGCAACCTCACTCACATTCCTGAGTCTTGACGTGGTGCTTAAGCATCCTATTGCAAAGTGATTCATTCTTCCACACATTTCCAAACGCTGGGCAGCTTGCTCTTTTGTGATGACTTCCACATTTCTTGCAATCGTAGGACTGCTGGGAATCTTCTTTCTTCTTTTGTTGTCTCACTTTGATCTTACTTAGCCTTGGCTGTAGTTTTTTTTTTGACAACATTCACGCTGACTTCTTTAGTTTTTGTGTTTTCTACTTTTAAAGACTTTTGCTGTATTTTACTCATTTCTGCTGCTCTGCAGCTCTCGATTGCCTTTTCTACTGTTAGGCTTGGATCTCTTACGAGACGTTGTTGTAGGCTTTCATGAAAATGAATATACGGCATGATTTAATTAAAAACATGCATGTAATATATATACTTCTTCTTTTTGTTTTCAGAAAATGCAATAATGGCTGCACTCACAGCAACAGGCAGCAGCTGCAACAGCAACCGCAGCAGCAGCCACAGGAGGACGTTAAACTGAAGCGTAGTAAGTATCACAGATCTTATCGAACAAATCATTAACCCATTTGCGTCGTGAATAATATAAAAAATTAATTTAAAACTGGTTGAACTATATAACATTTTAAATTTTACATTACAGAAAGAGGAACAGCGACCGGGACACGTCGCCGCCCTACCGTGGAAAATGGCCGCGTGGCGGGAGGGGCGGCGGTCCAATAAATACTATGTATTTTTTAAATAGATATAGTTTTTTTTTGGTTTATATAAATAAAAATAATTTAAAAAAATATTATTCACATTGTTTTCTTTTATTTATATTTAACCATCTAAATTTGATCAATATATTTTTCTTGCTTGACAGTTATTAGGTATCCAATAAAAATACAAAACATCTTTACGGTATCTTTCAAATACTGCTGGTTCCACTAAAAAATGTGAAATAAAATAAATATTAACAAAAAAAACCGACTTCGAAATGCGCTAAAAAGTGTGAAATAATTTATATTTCGTTTATACTGTAACGTGGTGACACCCGTGCCCCCCCGTAACAATCGCTGCGCTTTTCCCACCTTACACTCCCACCTCAAAATAACCCGTAACTCTTCTCACCTAACCCCTTCTCCCTGCCCACGGTGTCGGGCCGATGGAGGCGACGTAAAACCCACATGGAATACCTGCAAAAGGAGCTACGAGGCCGGCGACAGACCCCTAACCCTTTCCAAGGAAAAGCAGCGACGTTGGACTCGGAGAACGGACGAAGCTGCCAAATGATGTCAAAACGTCCACCCGGAGCCAACTGTTGCCGAGCCCGAAGACCTCAGCCCACCCGTCATCGCAGGATATCCGCCAGCCTCAGCGACCCCGACCACCGGCATATCGACTATCGATTATCGATCTATCCCGTTGCCGGAAGAGGCCCCATCTTAGACCCACCCGCCCCCAAACTTTTACCGTGACGGTCTCGTCGCCGCAACGGCGATGACGAGCCGTCATTGAGCCTTAGGCTATTGTAGCGAGTTACAGAGATTTTGATCGAGCGATTATAGAGAGAGAGTATTAGAGTGAGATTTTGTGTGTGGGGTGTTTTGGGTGAGTCCCCTTGATCATTATAATTGTAGAGTTGAGATCCGGCAACGGCAATCTTCACCCGCGTACATTCGCGCCGCGTATTGTTCCGATTTTCCAAGATTTCTACGTTTTGCGAAAACCCCCTTGTCCGACCCTAGGTACTCCCGTCTGCAGCAATCCCCCTACGCGTAACGTATACGAGCTTTCCTGTGAACCTTTCTCTTACCCTGAGATCTCTCCCAGCCCTCGACAATCCTCCCAGCGTATTCCCCCGCGGAATATTGTACGGACGAAAGTGCCACGAGTCCCATACGACCCAATTTACCCCTTTCCCTTTTCGGTTTTGATTGCCACGAGACGTGGCTGGCGCCCAACGCATTGTACTACCGATTGAAACTTGTAATTGTTAAAAGTATAGAGTGCACCCACGTGTAACGGGTCACAATACAATTAAGTAACAATTATTATTAATAAAATTTGTTGCATTAACGAACTGCGTTAACAATTATAAAATAATTTCTATTTCACTTATTCAATAGCTATTAATAAAATCTATTTAATCGTCAAATAGGATATAAATACATTTCAAGTTTTCGGAGGCGGCGCAAAATTAAAAATACTG